CTATAAGGGATGGCTGTTTTGGAATGTCGGGGGTGCGAGCTTTTGAACGAGAGATATTGCTGTGAATCGGTTGGTTTTCGGAAGAGTGTGGTGCTTAATACACCATCTGCGAGTTTCACAGAGACATCCAAGAAGTTGATACTTGTGAGGGAATAAGAGCTTGTGAATTTTATTGTAGGATGAAACTGGTTAAAATTTTTAATGAAACAAAGTAGATCGCTAAGGCCGTGGAGGTTATATTAGATTTACATCCCATGCCTCCTGCGGCAGACCCCGAGACCTCAAGGAGCCTCGGCGCCGGATGTGCACTGGCCAACGCTCGGGGAGGCTACACTGATGTAGCACACGGAGGCCCGGCGCGGCCAGCCACGTCGCACCCAGCCACGTCGCACCCAGCCACGCCGAATCCGGCCCCACGGCAACCAGCGGCCGAACTGACTGCCATCCGGTGAACCCTTTTCGTACTCTCCGCCCGCTAAACCTAACCTAAACGCTCCTAATCAGCATTTCTTTCGCCTCCGCAGAATAATTGGAAAACGCATTAGTTATGAAAACCATCTCATGTCATTATCACGATACTCCCAGAACGAGAGTTACCCTAGGGGCCTTAAAATATCCGCTCTTCCAAACTTTCCACTTGATCCCGCACGTGCATCGCAATGGAGCGCGTCGCTCTCGAGGACTTCCAATGATTTAGTCAAAATCCTAATTGCCCAATGTAAAACTACTATAACCTCCTTACGCCAAGAGGAGGAGGAACTGTCCAAAGCCATGCCACTTTCGGAAAAGCACAACAATGAATTAGCTAGCTTCATCACCAAAAAGTCCCATTCATTAAATGTAAGACTATCCAAAAAGTTTTCCCGCGACCATATCGATCTAGAATCACCCGATCCAGACACCCTGCAAGAGACTTGTCAAGCCCGCGGAGAGGAAGGGATAACCGATATCCGATGACGGTCACCCGACACAGAGCCCCCTACCCTAAGCCAGAGCGAACCTGCCGGTATGCTTAATGCATCCGGCATCATTGATAACACCGTGGTAAATTTATCATCAGTTGAGCTCTCTCACTCGGATATAAATCTATTAGGAAAGGGACTTTCCTTCTGTCCAGACAATAACCATGTAAATGAATATCAAATGCACCTCGGCCTACATAATTTCGCTCAAAATCTCCGCCTTCGGGAGCACTTTCATGGAAATGTCTCCTCTCCCCCTATCCATCCCTTCAGACAATCCAGCGACTTTACACCATTCGCCAGCAAAGATCCGAATCTAGACCTATACGTAAGGGGAATTCAAAAAGATATTTTAATGCATTGTAGACGCAAAGACTCGAATGGTAAAAAAAGTAACCTAAAACCCGACGAGAAAAAAAGTCTGGAGAACTTTCAACAAAGGAACGACATTTTGATCAAGCCGGCGGACAGGGGAGGGGCCACAGTCGTAATGGATTCCGCCATGTATAAAACAGAAGCCCTGCGTCAACTCAGTGACCAAAACTTTTATACCGCCCTAACTTCTGATCCGACTGCTAACTATGCAGCTACCATCGCCCGGGTCCTAAGGCGCTTGCACAAAGAGGACAAAATAGACGACCACCTCTTAAGCTTCCTCACTTCCACCGACTGCAAACCAGGACGCTTTTATCTTTTACCCAAAATTCACAAACCAGAAAATCTAGGCCGACCTATTGTCTCGTCGAATAGCACTGTGACTGAAAACTTATCAAATTTTGTAGATTACCTCATTAAAGATCTCCCCGAAACTTTTAACTCATACATAAAAGAGACACGACACACTTTCTAAATCTCATTTCTAATGTCGACTTTCCCCCAAACGCGCTATTGGTAACCTTGGATGTATCCTGACTCTACACCAACATACCACATGCCGACGGCATTCAGGCCACCGCTTCCGCATACAACCGCAAAAAAGACAAGCTTGTCAGCTCCGAGACTCTCTCAAAACTTTTGGATTTAATACTAAACTTTAATCATTTCGAATTTGACGACAACCATTATCTCCAAACTAATGGCACAGCAATGGGTACAAAAATGGCGCCAAACTACGCGAACGTATTCATGGGAGTTTTGGAGGACAGTTTCTTGGGACAATGCGCGCTAACTCCTCTCTTGTACAGACGATATATTGACGACATATTTATAATTTGGCAGCACGGCCTTAGCGATCTACTTTGTTTCATTAAAAATTTTAACCAGTTTCATCCTACAATAAAATTCACAAGCTCTTATTCCCTCACAAGTATCAACTTCTTGGATGTCTCTGTGAAACTCGTAGATGGTGTATTAAGCACCACACTCTTCCGAAAACCAACCGATTCACAGCAATATCTCTCGTTCAAAAGCTCGCACCCCCGACATTCCAAAACAGCCATCCCTTATAGCCAGGCCCTCCGATGCCGCCGAATCTGCTCAAACGATGACGATCTAGACTGAAATTTAGAACAACTCAGGGAGGCGTTCCGGGGACGTGAATACCCAACGGCCTTGGTGGATAACGCGATAGACAAGGCACGTGCAAAAGATCGTAACTTAATACTTTCTCCGGACACCACGCGAAATGCCCCCAAAAATTCTGTGAACCTCACACTTACCTACAGTAATAACCTCCCTGCCATCCGCTCGATCTTAAAGAAACATCAGTACTTGATAGAGCAATCGACTAAACTTAAAGAAATATTCCCCGACGCGCCCAGAGCGGTTTTTAGACGACATCGAAACATTCGTGACAATCTCGTGCATGCAAAACTAAATAAACAAAGTCATTCAAAACCAACGGGATGTAAACCATGCGGAAAATCTCCTTGCAAGATATGCCGTCAAATGATTTCCACTAACATTGTATCTAGCACCAATTCGCACTTCCGTCAAACGATTAGCAGCGATGTCGACTGTGACTCGGACAATGTGATACACCTTATTGAATGTCACAAATGTAAAGAGCAGTACATTGGACAAACCAAATCCAAGTTTCGTCAAAGATACAACGGCCATAAGTCCGACGTTAGGTGCAAACCCGACCTTCCAGTATCCAAACACTTTAGCCAGAATGGACATGCAATAACGGAGGCAAAATTAGTCATCATACAGAGTGGCTTCAAAAGTCAAACAAATAGAGAAATTCGCGAGTCATTCCTAATTCATAAATTCCAGTGCAAAATTAACAAAGATTTGGGCACTCTGTGAACCATACACAGCTTAAACGACCACCTGCCGCGACATCCCCGCCCTACTTAATTCCCTTTTTTTCTCTCCTTTTTCTTCCTTCTTGGGTCTGGACGTACCAGCCCTCGGGGACAAGGAGAAAGAGGGCCCCAGACGACTCGGTCACTCAAGGACGCTACGACTCACTCACTGCACCGTGATTACCCGGGAGGGCAGCTTCCGAACAAAATCCACAACCTTAATCCCTCACCGCGACAAAAGTGGACTCATACACCCTGGCGCTTCCTCTCCCGGCAAGCTCCTTCTGCTACCAATGCACCGGCGAACAGAACCTACAATTGTCATGCCTCATCGCGTCAAGATTGGACTTTGCCCTCTGTGTTCCCCTTCCCTACGAGCTCCTCCATACCACCAGCGCACCTGTGAAAAAAACCCAGAACCGCCTCCCTCATCGCGACAAAATTGGACTCGTCCCCCCCCCCGTGGTTCCCTTACCCTACAAACCCCTTCGAACTTTCGCGTTAACTAACCCTCTCCCTAGATATTTTATAAAACTAACCTACCACGCCATGTGGGCTCCCGTCCTGAAGAAGGCAGTGCCACTGCCGAAACGTCGACGGACGTCAGGCCCTTTTCTTATTTTTTATCCATTTTTTATTTTCAATTCTTTATTTTATTTTTCATTTAACAATTTATTTTTGTAAGTTCTTGTGTGTTAACTTTGACTTTTACTCCGTCCTGTTTAGAAGTTTCTTTCCCGCGTAATTAGCGCTCTTTTGCCTAGTCTTAATTATTCCCGTAAACTAATACAACTTTTTTTCGGCACTTCACCCTTTTTTCTTGCGTGACTTTTTTCGCCATTAATTTGGAATTTTATTCTTTTCATCCTACGGCTGCTGTGTCTGCGCACATCACTTTTGCCCATATATCAACGGAAGCATTTGTCAACATTTTCGTCACTCTTTATATATATATATATATATATATATATATATATATATATACATGCTCCCTAAGATTCACAAACCTGGTAACCCAGGGCGTCCAACCATATCCGGAATAAGTACAGTAACCGAACCCATATCAGGATATGTAGACAGTTTAATTAAACATATACCTACAATTCTTGATTCGTACATTAAAGACACAACTCACTTCTTAAGAGAAATATCAAATTTATGCATACCAAAAGAATCATATCTCGTTACACTCGATGTGTCATCGCTGTATACGAATATTCCACATGATGATGGAATACTCTCTTTAATTAACATGTACGAACTCCACAAACAACCGGATACCCCAGATGGACACGTCGTCGCTACTCTAGCGAGGCTTGTCTTAGAACTAAACACGTTCGAATTTAACAATAAATACTTTAGGCAGGTTAGCGGAACCGCGATGGGCACCAAAATGGCCCCGAACTATGCCAACATATTCATGGGAAAATTAGAATCTCAGTTCCTTTCTGAATGTCCCGTAAAGCCGCTAATATACAAAAGGTTTATAGATGATATATTTATTGTATGGCCGCACACCGAGGAGGAGCTGGTGGACTTCATAGGTCGATACAATGCTGCTCACCCGAGCATCCGCTTTACACATTCGTACTCTCAAACCGAAATAAACTTCCTAGACGTCAACGTTAAGATAGACGAAAGTAAACTCGCCACGAGCCTGTACCGTAAGCCAACAGATCGGCAGCAATACCTTCATTATCAAAGCGACCACCCACACCATTGCAAGAACAGCATTCCCTATAGCCAAGCTCATCGCTTCAAACGAATTTGTTCAAAAGAGACAGATTTTGATGCGAGCAGTCAAAATTTAAAGTCAGTGCTAGAGAAACAAAAGTATCCACCCCGTATAATCGACGATGCAATCAGAAAAGCCAAACAACTGAACCGCGCAGACCTCATCAGCCCGCGCCCCACGCAAAGCGCCACACAACGCACAAATCTATGTCTAACTTATAGCATAAACCATCCTAATGTAAATAATGTCTTGAGACGACATTATAACATTCTCGAACAAAGCGAGCGCCTTAAACGCGCGTTTCCATCCGCCCCGGGGGTAGTCCACAGACGATCGCGTAACCTCAAAGACGCGCTAGTAAACTCTCGGATAAATTCATCGCCTCCACCTAACGAATGTAGGCCTTGCAGGCACCCAGGATGTCTAATCTGTAAACAGATGCAGCACACAAGCACGGCCAGCAGCACGCACTCGCAGTTCTCGATCAAAATTAAAGGGAACTTAACATGTGCCTCGTCGAATGTCATTTACTTATTCGAGTGTACGGTATGCAAAATGCAATACATAGGGCAGACTAGAACGGCATTTAGACTGCGCTTTAATAATCACAAATCTCACGCCATAAATCTTCCGGCACTGCCTTTATCCAAACATCTCGCTCTCCCAAAACATTCTTTTGATAAATTGTCAGTGACGCTCCTAGAATCTGGATTTAAATCAAATCGCGAACGTGAACAGCGTGAATCCTACCTAATTTACCGATTTAACACTATTAAACAAGGAATAAATGAAAGCCCCGGTACTCTGGCATCGATTAAAATGCTAACAGACGAATAGCAACAGCAATCCAAAAAACATTTTTTTTTTGTAGATTTTGTTGATAACAGTGGTACTGTGTTTGGGGCCGGAACTGGACCATCAACTTTTCTTTTATTTCCAGGTTCTGATATCCATTGTATTTCTTTTTACTTCTAGGTTTAACATTGTTCCCTTCCAGGTTTGACTCATGCATGCTTGCATGCACACAAGTGACCGTGCCGCCCTTTCTCTTTTTTTTTTTTTTTTTGAGACAGCACTTTAGTTTGCGCGTGTAACTTTCGTCTATTGTACGCTATCGTCTATATAGGTCACCGCTGCCGGCCCGGACACAAAGTCACCCTGCGCCCTCTCTCAAGAAGCTACAACCGTCATCCCGCCGTCCTTGAAACTTGGCACCGACCGTCAAGCTTCTTCACCCGGATAAGAACTGCCCTACGCTTCCCTCTCTCGAAAGCTTCAACCATCACCCCTCCGAAATTCGGACCCGACCGTAGCATTGTATAAATACCACCCGCGTTCATCTGTAAAAGTTCTTCCTGACGAAGGCCGGACTCCGGCCGAAACGTCGAAGATTAAATCGTCCGTTGTTGCTGTTTTTCACTAAGGGTTTTTTCTTCTCAGTTTTATATATATATATATATATATTTATACAACACGGGCACTTCACACCATCGTACGTGGTCTCCGAGGAGGATATAAAAGAATATGGGCAGATGAATGAACCGTACTTACTCCAATGAATCAAAGAATCAAAGTTTTCAGGAACCCGCCGAAAGCCAAAAATCCTGGCTCCGCCGTTTTTTGGCTTTCGGCGGGTTCCTGTAAACTTTGATTCTTTGATTCATTGGATTAAGTACGGTTCATTCATCTGCACATATTCGTTTATATATATATATATATGTGTGTGACGGTGTCGCGTGAACGCTGGAAGAAAAGGAAAGGAAGAAGATGATCGAGCTGAAAAAGAAAAAAGAATGTCACCACGCCTCAACGGAGCCGAACATTAAAAGAGATATTTCGACGACCAATCGAGCTTCGTCGCACTTGGCGCCCAACGTGGGGCTCGGTAATGAGGTAAATTTATGTGGGGACGGCTGTCATTATCAAATCGTCCATTGAGCTCTTCGCATCAACGAGAAGGCTTAACTACAACGTCAGCAACGATGGATGAAGACGGCGCAAAAAGCGGCAGTGACGCGTCGTTGCAAGCTACAGTTGAGGCGGCAGTTGCACGGAGCGAAAAACTTCAGCGGATCCTTTCGAGGAGGGACGAAGAGATCGCTGAATTGAGGCAACGCATCGCAGAGCTTCTTAGCCGACAACAGACTGTACCCGCACCGACGCCTGCCTATTCTGCAAGTGCTGCTGGGGATAGCGCTTCTCTGAAAGCCATGGAGACCCTGGTGTGCGGATTACTGTCCCCAGTAATCGAGAGACTCAACTGCTTGGAGGTCGCGAGCTCGAGAAGTAACTCTGAAAGCAGCGACGAGGGCTCCACGCACCAAGGGCAACCGAATAAAATATCCAAGAAAAAGAAACGGATGCAGCGGTCGCTGGATACCGAACTACAAGAGAGCGTTCCAAACTCATGCAGCACATCTCAAAGCAGAGACAAGGGCTCGAACCAGCAAAGCCAGGGGAGAGGACTGGGAGATACTATCAACCATCGAGTTCAGCCATCCACCGCGGCCGTAAGTGCAGCTCCCCTCTTTGCCACTGACGTAATTGGTTGGTTTCATCAGGTCGAATTTTGGCTGAAAATTTACGGGCTGCCGGAAGATATCGCACTGCCGCTGCTCATATCAAAGCTACCTTCCAAAGATTTTGCTTGGATGTGCTTCGAGCTTAACTCCAAGACGATGAGCACTTGGAATGACGTGAAGTCCGCGTTTCGGCGGCACTACAATTTAGAAAGCCTTGTGGAAAATCAAAGAGCAATGTTAGCTCGAAGACAGAACTCCACAGCAACGTGCATGGAGTACGCTATTCAGAAGCTGCAACTGATAGAAGAATGTGTCTTCACAGGAAGCGAAGCAGAGAAGTGCGAATTGCTTCTTGAATCGCTGAACGACAAGACAAAGCGGATGTATTTCGATAGAAGCTTCAGATCGCTTGATGACTTGCTCGACTCTTTTATGAAGTTTGATCGGGCAAGCGGAAAAGCCAAGAAGCCCGAAGAGAAGTCATTAAAAGTTTCAAACTTCCACGAAGGCGGGGCCGATGAGCTGTGCAGTTTCGTCAAACTTGATCGGCAACAGCAGCCTCTGGAAAAACGTCAGGAATACGATGCAGCGAGCAGTGCGAATGACAAACCACGACCAAGCCTGACCTACCAAAGGGAACTCCGTCGCCAGAACAATGCAGCCCAGACCAAGGCTCAAGGATCCCGTCGGAAAGTACTCAAGCTTTGCCTAAATTGCAAACAGGAAGGCCACTTTGTTACATGGTGCCTCCAGCCTCTCACGCAAGAACTTCTTGAATGGCAGCGCGCATTTCAAGCGGAGCCTAACGTTCCGACTGACCTGGAAAACTCCGACCTGGTGTCTTCGGGGCCTGCGGGGAGACACCAGTAGTGCAGCGCGTTAGCTGTGAATCTTCTGTGGGCGTCAAACGGGTCCCAGTCTTTATGGGATCTCTTGAACTCAGTGCAGTTTTGGATTCTAGTTCCACCAGAAGCCTTGTGAATGAAGCTGTTTGCCAAAGGCTTCAGATGACACTTTCAAAACCTTCCCTGAAACTTGTGGGAGCAAATGGGCTGCCACTTGAAAATAATGGGGAAGTGAGTGTCGACATTACGGTGGACGGAAGGTCATTCCGACAGACTTTTGTGGTTGTCCCACATTTAAAGGAAGACTTAGTCTTACTTGGAGATGACTTTCTACGCTCTGCAAAAGCATTTATCGACTGGGGTACAAACACGCTTTCGATCCAAGCCGAAAAACCACTCAAGGTTTATGCAGCGACCACCCAAGTAGTACCGCCTCTTTCCCGGAAAGTCATCTAAGTCGTTTTGGAAGTCCCAGACGGCGAGACAAGTCACGATATCTTATATATAACAGGTTCTCAATCAGCTATTGAACGGTACCTGTTGGAACTGCAACCGACAGTCATCGATGCAGGGACAAAGACTTTCAAACTTATGGCTACAAACTTTTTCTTGAAGCCATCCAAAATACCTGCGATGGTAGGATCAGCTTAGGATCAGCTTAGGATCAGCAGAAAAGGTAGAAGCTGTTGAAGCGGTTGACTTGTCTCCCATCGAATGGGAATCAGTCCTGCAATGCTCCAGTTTTTCTGATCTTGAGAACCAGGAAGATGTGCCGAAAGTCCGCAACGAAACGCAGCAGATAATAATTGATGAGTTGAGCTTCAACGTGGCAGCTTCGCTGAACTCCGAAGAGCTGGAGGCAGTAAAACAACTCTTGATGAAATATCGTTCTAGTTTTGCAACCGACACTGCACACCTGGGATCTATTATGATAGAGAAACATTCCATTTCTACTGGTGGTGCAAAACCGATTGCACAATACCCAAGGCGAATTTCACCGGCTCAAAGAGATTTGGTGAAGGCAATGATAAAAGACCTAATGGATGCAAAAATTATCCAGCCCTTCAAAAGCTCCTGGGCATCACCACTGGTTCTAGTCCAAAAAAAGGACAAGTCCACAAGGATGTGTGTAGACTACAGGAAGCTAAATGCTGTAACTGAAAACGTTGTCTATCCACTACCACGAATGGATGATGCTCTGGCGGCATTGAGTGGGAGCGAGTATTTCTCAACATTGGACCTCCTTTCAGGATTCTACCAAATAGAGGTGGAACCTGGCGACACCGCTAAGACAGCTTCTTTTACGCAGTGGGGGCTGTATGAATTTCTGAGAATGCCGTTCGGGTTAAAAGGGGCACCGGCAACGTGTCAGCGAACTGTAGATGCCATTATCGGTGATCTAAAGTATCGCAACGCACTGGTCTACATGGACGACTGCATTGTTTATAGCACAACGTTCCAAGATCACCTTCGACCACTGGGAAATATTTTCGCGCGTTTTGAGGCCGCAAATCTCAAGTTCAAACCGCAGAAGTGCCATCTTTTTTGCACCAGAGTGACTTACCTTGGACATATTGTATCCCACAAAGGTATTGCACCTGATCCAGAGAAAATAGATGACGTAATGCGATTCCTCGTTCCTAGAACTGCGGCTGAAGTTCAATCGTTCTTGGGACTGACGTCCTATTTCCGAAAGTTCATTTGGAACCATAGTGCCATCGCAGCCCCCTTGAGAAAGCTCCTGAAAAAAGAAGCCTTCACATGGGGTGCTCCACAAGAACACGCCTTCCATGAACCGAAATCTGCCTTATGTGGACCTCCCGTCTTGAAGCACTTTTCAGAAGACTCTAAATACGGCCTCCAGGTCCACACTGATGCTTCCAGAACCGGCCTCGGCGCCATCCTCCTCCAGGAAGATGAAACTGGGGATTACAGGCCTGTTGTATACCTCACCCGTTCTCTTCACGGAGCTGAAGAAAACTACACATCCACTGAACTTGAGGCCCTTGCAGTCAAGTAGTCCCTGGAACAGCTACGTCCCTACCTAATGGGCAGAAAGTTTCATGTTGTTACAGATCACCATGCGCTCTGCTGGGTTCTTCGTTACAACGAGGGAAACCAACGCCTGCTCAGGTGGTCTCTCCTGCTCCAAGAATTCAAGTTTGAAGTTGTGTACAAGTCTGGCGCATGTCACACTGCCCCCGATTGTCTGTCCCGTATTCCAAGCCGCTTCTGCTCAGGGGAACCTTCGAGTACCAACGGCTCGGGAGAGACTGGGAGGACCCGCACTTGCGATGTGTTTGAGGTCAAAGAGCCCAACTTAACCTCCGAGCAGAAGGAGGACCCGTTCTGTACAAAAATCATAAAGATACTGCAGAAAAAGGCTGGTACAAAGAAACAGCAGAAGAGAGCAAGTAAACAATTCGTGCTTTTTCATGTTGTATTGTACAAAAGGGAT